AGTGTGTTGGAAATTTGGTAATTGAGTGTAAGCAGTGAGTTGTGTTTAAAGTTCTGCAAAAAGAGTGTTGTGCAGTGAATTGTGCCTACAGTTTTGCAAAGTGTGTGTTACAAAATTGTAAACTGAGTGCAAAGCAGTGTTTGTGCTTTTAGTTTTGCAAACTCAGTGAGTGGTTTTGCTATACGTATTAATAGTTTTAGAAATTGTGCTACAAGAATCACGATTAGCGCTTAAGCATTCAGAAAAAACTGTAAGTACTTTACACCACTGTAGGTCTGGTTCTGTGAGTTGTATGGAGCTCACAGGGGAATGTCCCACATGGTGGCAGGAGAGAACATACTGTCCTGGTTGTGTACTGCAGAGTATCTGATGACATCCAGTGTCTATGTGTGTACATACTGGTCCTGGTTGTGTACTGCAGAGTATCTGATGACATCATGTGTGTGTGTGTGTGTACATACTGGTCCTGGTTGTGTACTGCAGAGTATCTGATGACATCCTGTGTGTGTGTGTGTGTGTGTGTGTGTGTGTGTGTGTGTGTGTGTGTGTGTGTGTGTGTGTGTGTGTGTGTGTGTGTGTGTGTGTGTACATACTGGACCTGGCATCCTTCTTATACACACTGCTGTAGTTACACTCCTCACACTTAAAGGGCTTGTTCCCCTGGTGGTTGAACATCAAATCATATCACATTTCATTTCATTGGTCACATGCACATATTTAGCAGATGTTATTGCGGGTGTAGCGAAATGCTTGTGTTCCTAGCACCAACAGTGCAGTGGTATCTAACAATTCACAACAATTCACAAATCTAAAACTAAAAGAATGGAATTAAGAAATGCATAAATATTAGGACGAGCAATGTCGGAGTGACATTGACTAAAGTACAGTAGAATAGAATACAGTATATACATATGAGATGAGATAAGTAAAGCGGTATGTAAACATTATTAAAGTGACATTATTAAAGTGACTAGTGTTCCATTATTAAAGTGGCCAGTGATTCCATGTCTATGTATATAGTGCAGCAGCCTCTAAGGTGCAGGGTTGAGTATCCGGGTGGTAGCCGGCTAGTGATGGCTATTTAACAGTCTGATGGCCTTGAGATAGAAGCTGTTTTTCAGTCTCTCGGTCCCAGCTTTGATGCACCTGTACTGTTCTCGCCTTCTGGATGATAGTGATGATAGACAGATTGTCTTTCCACCTTCTCCACTGCGGTCCCGTCGATGTGGATAGGGGGGTGCACCCTCTGCTGTTTCCTGAAGTCCACGATCAGCTCCTTTGTTTTGTTGAGGGAGAGGTTATTTTCCTGGGACCACTCCGCCAGGGCCCTCACCTCCTCCCTGTAGGCTGTCTCGTCATTGCAGGTCTTCAGGCCTACTACTGTTTTGTCGTCTGCAAACTTGATGATTGAGTTGGAGGCGTGCGTGGCCACACGGTCATAGTGAACAGGGACTACAGGAGGGGACTGAGCACACACCGTTGTGGGGCCCCTGTGTTGAGGATCAGCGAAGTGGAGGTGTTGTTTCCTACCTTCACCACCTGGGGGCGGCCTGTCAGGAAGTCCAGGACCCAGTTGCACAGTGCAGGGTTCAGACTCAGGGTGCTGTGTTCCTGTTAACTCAGCAGAGACAACAGGCTCTTACCATTCCACTGTGGTTATAACAGACAGTACAGAGAACAGAACAGGCTTGAGATACAAGAGAACAACCGAAGACTGATTCAATGATTGATTGAAGAAACAATGTAATTATATAGCAATAAAGACAAATGACATGCTGCTGTAATGAGGGTTATGTACAGTGTCTAGTGAAAGTCTACACAGCTCTTGCAGTTGCCACATTTTGCCACCCTGAAGAAGGCACAGGGATGCCAAAATGTTGGTGGTTTTTTAAGAGTGTAATTGTGATGCTTTCCCACTCTCTCTCTCTCTCTCTCTCTCTCTCTCTCTCTCTCTCTCTCTCTCTCTCTCTCTCTCTCTCTCTCTCTCTCTCTCTCTCTCTCTCTCTCTCTCTCTCTCTCTCTCTCTCTCTCTCTCTCTCTCTCTCTCTTCTCTCTCTCTCTCTCTCTCTCTCTCTCTCTCTCTCTCTCTTTAGTGATTCTCTTTCTCTCAGTGATGCTGAAATGTTGATGGTTTTTTTACCCAATAAATTACTGGGAGGTTATACATATGGAGTGTGCGACTCTCTTTTTGTTAATGGCATCCAGTTTATTCCCCGTTAGTCAGCACCTCTACACTAAATTATGTTCTCAGGGTGTGTCGTTAGTCAGCACCTCCACACTAAATAATGTTCTCTGGGTGTGTCGTTAGTCAGCACCTCCACACTAAATAATGTTCTCTGGGTGTGTCGTTAGTCAGCACCTCCACACTAAATAATGTTCTCTGGGTGTGTCGTTAGTCAGCACCTCCACACTAAATAATGTTCTCTGGGTGTGTCGTTAGTCAGCACCTCCACACTAAAGAATGTTCTCTGGGTGTGTCGTTAGTCAGCACCTCCACACTAAATAATGTTCTCTGGGTGTGTCGTTAGTCAGCACCTCCACACTAAATAATGTTCTCTGGGTGTGTCGTTAGTCAGCACCTCCACACTAAATAATGTTCTCTGGGTGTGTCGTTAGTCAGCACCTCCACACTAAATAATGTTCTCTGGGTGTGTCGTTAGTCAGCACCTCTACACTAAATAATGTTCTCTGGGTGTGTCGTTAGTCAGCACCTCTACACTAAATAATGTTCTCTGGGTGTGTCGTTAGTCAGCACCTCCACACTAAATAATGTTCTCTGGGTGTGTCGTTAGTCAGCACCTCCACACTAAATAATGTTCTCTGGGTGTGTCGTTAGTCAGCACCTCCACACTAAATAATGTTCTCTGGGTGTGTCGTTAGTCAGCACCTCCACACTAAATAATGTTCTCTGGGTGTGTCGTTAGTCAGCACCTCCACACTAAATAATGTTCTCTGGGTGTGTCGTTAGTCAGCACCTCCACACTAAATAATGTTCTCTGGTGTGTCGTTAGTCAGCACCTCCACACTAAATAATGTTCTCTGGGTGTGTCGTTAGTCAGCACCTCCACACTAAATAATGTTCTCTGGGTGTGTCGTTAGTCAGCACCTCCACACTAAATAATGTTCTCTGGGTGTGTCGTTAGTCAGCACCTCCACACTAAATAATGTTCTCTGGGTGTGCGCCAGCTCATGCTTTTTATTTGAAGGTCTTTGTTGCCTTAAAATGAAATATAAGGTATTACATTAGATTGTTTTCCTACAGATCTACACAACCTGCTCCACATTTTCAAAGTGTGTCATGCTCGTCTAACAGAGTGGACCAAGGCGCAGCGTTGAAAGTGAACATATCCTTTTATTTTACAGATCACACGATCAAAACAATAAACGATAACGTGACGTCTACGGTTTAACACGAACCGAAATGAACAAGAAACCACAACACAAAGTGAAAAGACCGACAGTTAAATATGGCTCCCAATCAGAGACACCCAGCTGACACTCGTTGCCTCTGATTGGGAGTCACTCAGACCAACATAGAAAAATTAAAGAAAAAGTATAGAACATTTTCAACAAAAAAAAATATATTATGTCTTGATTGTGTATGTCAGTGTTTCCCAGCTGGTTTTATTTGGCCCCCCAAGTTCTGAGCAATTTTGGAAATATCAATACTATTTACAGAATAAATCAGGTAGACTTAGTCTGAGCTGTTGCAGGCTGAGGGCCCCTTTAACCAGTAAAGACAGCCTCATCCTTTAATCTCACTGATTGACTTTTAAGCTAAAATGAAACAATTGATGGAAGGTCTATTTGAGTTCTTCAGAATAGAAACCAGATAATAAGCCTATTGTGGGTTTCTTTTCTTTATCTGTGTGGTACGACCTAACTAAACACGGCAGAATTTAATTGATTCTTCAGATGACATACTATGGTTGATACAAAGAAGAAAAAGAGATCTAAGATAACTTAGACGTCTGTGTCCATCAAATTGAACATAGAAGACTGTATAAAAAACGAGCCTGTAAAAGTGGTATGATTTATTAAGTTCCAAAAAATATAGAAGGCCAGTACATGCAGTATTATTCATACATGCTAAATGTTTGTGAGAGAAGAAAATAACAAAGCTTATAATAAAAAAGGGATAATGTATAGATAAGAGATCAGGTAGGCGTCCGCGCTACAGAAAACACATAAAGGGAGCGCTTGACAACAATGACGAAATTCCAACAAAAAGGCTTACCAAGAAAAACGTCCAAAAGGACTAATTGGAGGTAGAAAATATTTGCAGAACTCAACAAAGCTGACGTCTTCCTCAGAGTGGCCTGACAATTGCACTTAACTCCTATTCATAGCATAGTGACCTACTGAGACACAACAAAGTACAAATAAAAATAACATGATTCAAGGTTAGGGTTTTTCTAATGTAGTTGCCTTGATTTTTATGGTCTCAGCGCCGCCCCTTTCACAAACACTCAAATACACCCAATGTATATATATGACCTATTTGCCAAAAAGAAGACGCCAGATTTATAGTATTATTATTTGCCATTTACCTTGAATTTCCCGTTGGCCTTATTTTAATTTTTACATTGATGTGTCTCAGTAAGCTACTAGGCTATAAATAGGAGTAAAGTGCAATTGTCAGGTCACTCCGAGGAAGACGTCAGCTTGACATTGAAACGTCAGTCACCTGTACTCATCCAAATAAGAAATTCATCTCTGCCTTTTTTGTGGAGTGCTCCAACTCCATTCTGACTCAAATTAGTCCTTTTGGAAGTGTTCCTTGGTAAACCATTTTGTTGAATGATACACAACATGATACATAACATGATCATTACATCTGATACATGTGTTATACATATACTAAATTATCATCATGATTGCTAGCATATCATTTGACACTTTTTGTCACTACATGTAAAACAGTTACTTAACACAGAGCTGAAAATGAAATAGGAGCAGGATATGACAAGTTTAGACTTCAGCCTTCTTCCAGGAAGTGGTTACTGGAATTTCCTGTCATCGATGGACTTCATGATGTTCTCAATCGAAGGATCATCTGGATTGGCACAGAGGCGGTAGCTCTTTCTTGTGACCAAGCTGGAAGAGAGCAGACAATATCCGAGTAAACATCCCTGTGTGTATTGTGTGTGTGTGTATGTGTGTGTGTATGTGTAGTGTGTTGCAGTGTGTAGGTGTATGTGTAATACTGTACTTACATGACTCCCCTCTTAGGGCAGTCAGATCTGGTCATTTCATATTCCCTGATGAATTGTGCGGGGATTTTTCTTGTGTAATACTTGAAACAGCATTCTTCAGGACCATTTCCATCTGTATAAAGAGACCATCTATAATTTTCTATAATTTTTCTGACATACTATAGACCACAGGAGGTTGGTGGTCCCTTAATTGGGGAGGACGGGCTCGTGGTATTGGCTGGAGCGGTATCAGGAGAATGGTATCAAATACAGTACATCAAACACATGATTTCCAGGTGTTTGATACCATTCCATTTGCTCCGTTCCAGCCATTGTTATGAGCCGTCCTCCCCTCAGCAGCCTCCTGTGCTATAGACAGGTTAGCTGCCAACGTCACGAAAACGATGCCAGTGCTTCAAAGGGGCTAAAGGCTTTGTGTTAGGATTCTGGATGGTCAGATGGCTAGCAACAATGACAAGAAGCTGCCATGTGGGGAATCGGAAGTGCCTCATATAGCCAATTTTATCTTGTTCTTGACTGATGTCACGTCTTTGCTAATATGGCACAAATGTTTTAGCTAGCTAGCTAACCAATAAGTGTAATCATGTATTTGTAAAATAAAATGCAACTTTATTTGTTTTAATAAACATTGGAGACTAAATATAGTTTACATGTTGTCAACAACCTAAGCCAAGCCCAGCTGTTTTGCCCCATTGTTGCGCACATGTCGGTTGTGTTGCTAAACAACCAACCCGTCTATAAGTCAGAACTTAAACATGGAATATTTCATTTCAGCTTTATAATGCAACAATTCAGAGTAGGAGTGCTGATCTGGGAGCAGTTTTGCCTTTTAGATCACAATGAATAAGATTGCATAAACAGCAGGGAACTGGTCCCAGATCAGCAGACTCTTGATAAGTACAGTCCCATATCTCTCCCATACATCCTTAACCCTAATTGCTCCTGTAAGTCACTCTGGATAAGAGCATCTGCTAAATGACTCAAATGTTAATGTAACACTATGATTAACACTAAATGTTAGACAATGTTCTGAAGAGAAGGATTGATAGTAGTTAAGAATCGATTCCAAAGCAGGGATAACTTACTGTTGGCCAACGCGGCGGACCACAGGGTTGCTCCCAGGTTGCACAGCAGGAGAAGGTTCTGAGCAGACCGCATGATTGGTTGATGATGAGCAGACAATGACCAACACTGTTAACACCTCAGCAACTGTAAAGGATTCTAAACTTAGGACAGAGTATTTTGTCCTTTATATAATCGGAGGAGGGGAGTGAGGGCAGGGAGGTGTGTCGTTATGGTGGGGATTGGGATGGGTGTGGGGGAGGGGGGAGTTGTAGGAGACAAGTGTGTAGGTGACAAAAGTTTCACAAAAAATTCACTTAAAATGGTTTACAGGAAATGCACATGCGATTAGCTCACCACAGTGGACGCCTTGCACAGTTCTTTGAGCACGCATTGCCTAAAAACTCAGCATCAGTGTGATACATACAGTGGGGGAAAAAAGTATTTAGTCAGCCACAAATTGTGCAAGTTCTCCCACTTAAAAAGATGAGAGAGGCCTGTAATTTTCATCATAGGTACACGTCAACTATGACAGACAAAATGAGAAAAAATAATCCAGAAAATCACATTGTAGGATTTTTAATGAATTTATTAGCAAATTATGGTGGAAAATAAGTAAAGGATTCTAAACTTAGGACAGAGTATTTCGTCCTTTATATGATCGGAGGAGGGGAGTGAGGGCAGGGAGATGTGTCGTTATGGTGGGGATTGGGATGGGTGTGGGGGAGGGGGGTGTTGTAGGAGACAAGTGTGTAGGTGACAAAAGTTTCACTAAAAATTCACTTAAAATGGTTTACAGGAAATGCACATGCGATTAGCTCACCACAGTGGACGCCTTGCACAGTTCTTTGAGCACGCATTGCCTAAAAACTCAGCATCAGTGTGATACATACAGTGGGGGAAAAAAGTATTTAGTCAGCCACAAATTGTGCAAGTTCTCCCACTTAAAAAGATGAGAGAGGCCTGTAATTTTCATCATAGGTACACGTCAACTATGACAGACAAAATGAGAAAAAATAATCCAGAAAATCACATTGTAGGATTTTTAATGAATTTATTAGCAAATTATGGTGGAAAATAAGTATTTGGTCAATAACAAAAGTTTCTCAATACTTTGTTATATACCCTTTGTTGGCAATGACACAGGTCAAACGTTTTCTGTAAGTCTTCACAAGGTTTTCACACACTGTTGCTGGTATTTTTGCCCATTCCTCCATGCAGTTCTCCTCTAGAGCAGTGATGTTTTGGGGCTGTCACTGGGCAACATGGACTTTCAACTCCCTCCAAAGAGTTTCTATGGGGTTGAGATCTGGAGACTGGCTAGGCCACTCCAGGACCTTGAAATGCTTCTTACGAAGCCACTCCTTCGTTGCCCGGGCGGTGTGTTTGGGATCATTGTCATGCTGAAAGACCCAGCCACGTTTCATCTCCAATGCCCTTGCTGATGGAATGAGGTTTTCACTCAAAATCTCACGATACATGGCCCCATTCATTCTTTCCTTTACACGGATCAGTCGTCCTGGTCCCTTTGCAGAAAAACAGCCCCAAAGCATGATATTTCCGCCCCCATGCTTCACAGTAGGTATGGTGTTCTTTGGATGCAACTCAGCATTCTTTGTCCTCCAAACATGACGAGTTGAGTTTTTACCAAAAAGTTCTATTTTGGTTTCATCTGACCATATGACATTCTCCCAATCCTCTTCTGGATCATCCAAATGCACTCTAGCAAACTTCAGACGGGCCTGGACATGTACTGGCTTTAGCAGGGGGACACGTCTGGCACTGCAGGATTTGAGTCCCTGGCGGCGTAGTGTGTTACTGATGGTAGGCTTTGTTACTTTGGTCCCAGCTCTCTGCAGGTCATTCACTAGGTCCCCCCGTGTGGTTCTGTGATTTTTGCTCACCGTTCTTGTGATCATTTTGACCCCACGGGGTGAGATCTTGCATGGAGTCTTAGATCGAGAGAGATTATTAGTGGTCTTGTATGTCTTCCATTTCCTAATAATTGCTCCCACAGTTGATTTCTTCAAACCAAGCTGCTTACCTATTGCAGATTCAGTCTTCCCAGCCTGGTGCAGGTCTACAATTTTGTTTCTGGTGTCCTTTGACAGCTATTTGGTCTTGGCCATAGTGGAGTTTGGAGTGTGACTGTTTGAGGTTGTGGACAGGTGTATTTTATACTGATAACAAGTTCAAACAGGTGCCATTAATACAGGTAACGAGTGGAGGACAGAGGAGCCTCTTAAAGAAGAAGTTACAGGTCTGTGAGAGCCAGAAATCTTTCTTGTTTGTAGGTGACCAAATACTTATTTTCCACCATAATTTGCAAATAAATTCATAAAAAATCCTACAATGTGATTTTCTGGAGAAAAAAAATCTCAATTTGTCTGTCATAGTTGACGTGTACCTATGATGAAAATTACAGGCCTCTCTCATCTTTTTAAGTGGGAGAACTTGCACAATTGGTGGCTGACTAAATACTTTTTTTCCCCACTGTAAGGTCTGAAGTTATTGACCCCCTACACCCTCTTCTTGGGCTAAAAAGCAGTTTCCTGGAAATAATAATAATTTGTTCTACAACTATGGAAAACCTATTTAAACATTGAACAAATAAAGGGGCATCATACTGTTTGTCACGTACGTCGCAGGGAGTAGACCAAGGCGCAGCGTTGCAGGCAAACATCTTTAATTAAAGAGAGTAAACACTCGAACAAAACAACAAAACGATAACGTGCCAGTCAACGGTCTAACACAAACCAACTAGAACAAGATCCCACAGCTAATGTGGGAAAACAGCCTCTATAAGTATGGCTCCCAATTAGAGACAACCAGCAACAGCTGACACTCGTTGCCTCTGATTGGGAACCACTCTGGCCAACACAGAAATACAACACTAGAATCCCGACATAGAAACACAACACATAGAATATACACACCCTGGCTCAACATATAGAGTCCCAGAGCCAGGGTGTGACAGTACCCCCCCCTAAAGGCGCGGACTGCGACCGCGCCTCAACATGGACCAAAACAGGGGAGGGCTGGGTGGGCATTCCTCCTCGGAGGCGGTTCCGGCTCCGGGCTCGCCCACCACCCTCCAACAATCCCCCCGTAGCGCCCCTGGTCCGGTCTGGCCCCGCTGGCTGGAGCTGGACTGGACAACGTAGGAGCGGATTGCTTAAGCTCCGGTGTGGGGCAGCTGACCGGTACCTGACCAGGCACCGGTGACCCAGGCACGGGTTGTGCCGGACTGACGACGCACACCGTAGGCTTGGTGCGAGGAGCAGGAACAGGCCGGGCCGGGCTGGCGACGCGCACCGTAGCTTTGGTGCGAGTGGCAGGAACAGGCCGGGCCGGGCTGGCGACGCGCACCGTAGGCTTGGTGCGAGTGGCAGGAACAGGCCTGGCCGGGCTGGCGACGCGCACCGTAGGCTTGGTGCGAGGAGCAGGAACAGGCCGGGCCGGGCTGGCGACGCGCACCGTAGGCTTGGTGCGAGGAGCAGGAACAGGCCGGGCCGGGCTGGCGACGCGCACCGTAGGCTTGGTGCGAGGAGCAGGAACAGGCCAGGCCGGGCTGGCGACGCACAACTTAGGCTTGGTGCGAGGAGCAGGAACAGGCCGGGCCAGGCTGGAAAGCAGCCCTATCCAGAAATCTGGCAGTGGCTTCTGATTAAATTCAACTTTCACAGAACCGCTTGTTGCAATTTCGGTTAAAAAAAAATTAAAAATTAATTTCACCTTTATTTAACCAGGTAAGCCAGTTGAGAACAAGTTCTCATTTACAACTGTGACCTGGCCAAGATAAAGCAAAGCAGTGCGATAAAAACAACAACATAGAGTTACATATGGGGTAAAACAAAACATAAACTCAAAAATACAATAAAATATATATACAGTGTGTGCAAATGTAGGAAGTTATGGAGGTAAGGCAATAAATAGGCTATAGTGCAAAATAATTACAATTAGTATTAACACTGGAATGATAGATGATAGCAAGAGATGATGTGCAAATAGAGATACTGGGGTACAAATGATCAAAATAAATAACAATATAGGGATGAGGTAGTTGGGTGGGCTAATTTCAGATGGGCTGTGTACAGGTGCAGTGATCGGTAAGGTGCTCTGACAACTGATGCTTAAAGTTAGTGAGGGAGATAAGTGTCTCCAGCTTCAGAGATTTTTGCAATTTGTTCCAGTCATTGGCAGCAGAGAACTGGAAGGAATGGCGGCCAAAGGAGATGTTGGCTTTGGGGATGACCAAAGTGCCTGAACTCCATTATGTCTCCCTGTCATGGCTTTTGCGCCATCAGTACAGATACCAACACATCTTGACCACCAAAGTCCATTTGATGTCACAAAGCTGTCCAGTACTTTCAAAATACCCTCTCCTGTTGTCCTGGTTTCCAGTGGTTTGCAGAAGAGGATGTCTTTAATTGACCCCACATAAACGTAACGGACATATACCAGGAGCTGTGCCAGGCCCGCCACGTCTGCTGACTCATCCAGCTGTAACGCATAGAATTGACTGCCTTTTATGCGAAACAGTAATTATTTAAAAACATCTCCTGCCATGTCACTGATGCGTCGTGAAACAGTGTTGTTTGATAAAGGCATTGTCTGTATCGTTTTTTGGGCCTTTTCCTCCAGCATTGTCCCAGCCATATCCGCGGCAGCTGGAATAATGAAGTCCTCCACAATAATATGGGGCTTGCCTGTCTTAGCCACTCGGTAGCTCACCATTTAAGACGCTTCTAGCCCGTTCATATTCATGGTTAATGTTGCTTTTATACATGTCTTACTACTCGAAAGTCGTCTTAATTCTCGCTTAAAATATTCCCGTGGCTTATTTTTCAAAATTGGCATGTTTCCTTTCAAAATGTCTGCGCAAGAGTGAAGGTTTCATCGAGTTGTGAGATAGTACTTTTGCACATATAACACACCGTGGCTGAGGAAAGGCACTACTCCCAATATAAGTGAACCCCAAATCAATATAGTTCTCATCATATTTGCGCCTCTTCGTCCCAGTCTGTTGTTCAGTGCTTTCCCGGGTAAGGGGGCAGTAGCTCTTCGCCTGCATCAGATTCACAACTGTCAGTGTCCATGCTAGCTGGGCTAGCAACAAATGTAGAATAACTGATGCTAACATTGGATGCTAACATTGGATGCTAACATTGGATGCTAACATTGGATGCTAACATTGGATGCTAACATTGGATGCTAACATTGGATGCTAACATTGGATGCTAACATTGGAATGCTCATTGAAGCAGAACAACTTGTGTCATCGACAGGTGCAGGTGTAGTACTCCTGGAAGTAGTACTACCAGTAGAGCTGGTATGTGTCTCTATGGACGCGGGCCTTACTTTTCAAAAACATTTATACATTTTCGAGCAAACGGAATGAGTAGCAGCTACGTTTGGCTACATACGGACCGTTAATGGAATTCCCGCGAGAGAGTAACGGTTAATGTGATTGGATATTAATTATTTGACTAGATGGTTTAATTTTATTTTTGGCAGTGAGACGAGGCTACTCAGGCGAGAAAAAAAAACATTACCCAAATGTATAGCCCCGTTGGAAAATCTAAATGGACTGTTTGAAAATGTGAATCACATTTTTATTTGGCGTACCCCCAACGGCATTGCCCTTACCCCCAGTTTGGGAATAGCCGGTCTAGTGTAACCGTACAAATGGCCACTCTGATGACCTCTCAGCCATCTTCTGTTCAACTGAACAGAACCTAAAAGCCACAATCCTGACCACATGGTTTGGTATACAGCTGAGCGATGGGACTGGATAAATGTAACCACTCAAATGAATAGATGGAGCTATGGATGTGGTGGTTCTGTTCAGGCTTACCTGGACCTGCTTCAGCACCCCATCTCCTAGCCTGGAGGTCAGGTAGGACTTTTCTCCGTTCTCTCTGACTATTTTTGTTCCCTCCTCCTCTTCCTCCATGGGCTGGGGACTCTCCTCGCCACTGCTGAAAACACAACACACACACACACACACACACACACACACATTGGAACACAGTGAAAACAGGGGAGTACTGCCTGAACTTGTCCAATGACAGCAGAGGTTTTTGTTTTTCCATTGCCGTACTGAACACAACCCAGGTGAGACCATGGTGTTGTAGCTGACTGATGTGGTTGATTGTAGCTGTATTCAGGTCCGGTGCTGTGGATCTCCTCTGTAGCTTGTTCCACCTGTTCCAACACACTGAAGCCTTCTGCCCCCTCGTAGTCCTGGATGACCACCTGGGTGATCTCTCCATTCTCATTGGTCCCCGCCTCATAACCCTCCTGCACCTCCTGGCCGTGGTATATTGGCCATATATTGAGATGCACTCACACCTGCCTGCTGCCATTCCTGAGCAAGCTCTGCACTGGTGGTGCTGCGCATAGTGAGCTAGGTTATAGGACTACATCATGATAGATCAGTGACTGTCTGATGAGGAACGGTCTGTCTTACCGTAGTGAGCTAGGTTATAGGACTACATAATGGGCGTGATAGAAGCAGTCTACCGTCTTCACAACTGGATAATAATTGCTTTATTTGCCTCATAAAATAATAGAAAAATAAATAATATTGTTTGTTCTATCTATCATGAAGCTGTAATTGAGAATAGCCTACGCCTAACTTTGTTCTTGTTGGTTTTGAAAGACACAACTTTAGGACAACACCTTCGTAGGCTAGAATATTTGGGAAATAAGCTACTGTTGATAACTTTAGCTTGTATTAAAGCTTTTATGATAGGCCAGTAGGAAGAATGAGAATAGGTTATCGGCCATTTGGTTTCCAACCTTGCATGCGAGGACTTTTCCGGCCCGCATGGATAGTTTCTTCCTTAAAAGGCCTAAACTTAAACTTCTCATAGGCTGCTGATATACTTGGTTCTTTTATAAGGGATGATCTGGATAGAAAAAGCCTAACTATGGTAACTGAACATTTAGAGAAAAAAGGGGAAAATACTTACTGCCTCAGACTTTGTTTTCCTGTGAAATGAAGAAAAATACGTTACAGGATCTAATGATTGATTGATGAATTGTTTGATCAAACTTTATTTGTTTTTTAGATCGAGTTGTACTGCAGTGGTGGGAAAAGTACCCAATTGTCATACTTGAGTAAAAGTAAAGATACCTGAATAGAAAATGACTCAAGTAAAAGTGAAAGTCACCCAGTAAAATACAACTTGAGTAAAAGTCTAAAAGTTTTTGGTTTTAAATATACTTAAGCATCAAAAGTAAATGTAATTGCTAAAATATACTTCAGTATCAAAAATAAAAGTATAAATCATTTCAAATTCCTTATAGTAAGCAAACCAGACGGCACCATTTTTTTGTTTTTTTAATTTACGGATTCCAAGAGGCACACTCCAACATTCAGACATAATTTACAAACGAAGCATGTGTGTTTAGTGAGTCCGCCAGATCAGGTTCAGAAGGGATGACCAGCGATGTTCTATTGATAAGTGCGTGAATTGGGCCATTTTCCTGTCCTGCTAAGCATTCAAAATGTAAAGAGTACTTTTGGGTGTCAGGGAAAATGTATGGAGTAAAAAGTACCTTATTTTCTTTAGGAATGTATTGAAGTAAAAGTAAAATTTGTAAAAAAAAATATAAATAGTAAAGTAAAGTATGAATACCCAAAAAAACTACTTCAAATCAAATCAAATGTTATTTGTCACATACACGTGTTTAGCAGATGTTATTGCAGGTGTAGCGAAATGCTTGTGCTTCTAGCTTCACAACATATACCCAATACACACAAATCTAGTAAGGAATGGAATTTAAGAATATATACATACATGGACAAGCAATGACAGAACGGCATGGACTAAAATACAGTAGAATATTATAGAATAGAATACAGTATATACATATGAGATGAGTAGGGAAGGATATGTAAACATTATTAAAGTGACTAGTGTTCCATTTCTTAAAGTGGCCAGTTGATTTCAATAGGCAGCAGCAGCCTCTAATGTGCTAGTGATGGTTATTTAACAGTCTGATGGCCTTGAGATAGAAGCTGTTTTTCATTCTCTCGGTCCCAGCTTTAATGCACCTGTACTGACCTTGCATTCTGGATGATAGCGGGGTGAACAGGCAGTGGCTCGGGCGGTTAATGTCCTTGATGATCTTTTTGGCCTTCCAGTGACATCGGGTGCTGTAGGTGTCTTGGAGGGCGGGTAATTTGACCCCAATAATGCGTTTGGCAGACCGCACCACCCTCTGGAGAGCCCTGCGGTTGCGGGCGGTGCAGTTGCCGTACCAGGCGGTGATACAGCCCGACAGGTTGCTCTAAATTGTGCATCTGTAAAAGTTTGTCAGGGTTTTAGGTGCCAAGCAAATTTCTTCAGCCTCCTGATGTTGAAGAGGCTCTGTTGCGCCTTCTTCACCACATGGTCTGCGTGGGTGGACCATTTCAGTTTGTCAGTGATGTGTACGCCAAGGAACTTGAAGCTTTCCACCTTCTTCTCTGCGGTCCCGTTGGTGTGGATAGGCGGGTGCACCCTCTGCTGTTTCCTGACGTCCACGATCATTGTTTTATTGACTATGAGTGAGAGGTTACTTTCCTGGCACCACACTCCCAGAGCCCTCACCTCCTTCCTGTAGGCTGACTCTTCATTGTTTGTAATCAAGCCTACTATTGTTGTGTTGTCAGCAAACTTGATGATTGAGTTGGAGGCATGCTTGGCCACACAGTCATGGGTGAACAGGGAGTAGAGGAGAGGACTGAGCACGCACCCTTGTGGGGCCCCAGTGTTGAGGATCAGCGAAGTGGAGATGTTGTTTCCTACCTTCACCACCTGGGGGTGGCCTGTCAGGAAGTCCAGGACCCAGTTGCACAGGGCGGGGTTCAGATCTCTTAACATGGAGACAATCTCTTTATTTGTTGTTACGTTATAATTAAGAAAAAAGGTTAGGTTAATACAACAAACCTCACTGGTATCGTCCCATTTGATATAATCCACTTCAGTCACCCCCCCAACCCATAAGTACCGGTTTGATTGTGAAGCTGATTAGAAGACTCCAGAAAGGAAAAGAGATTGTTGATGATTTGATATGTCCCTTCTATCAATAATAAGGCGTTGCTGGTATCTCTGTGTCCACAGTATACCCTTCCCCTATTGGATGTACTCACTCAGTAAGTGCTGTGACCCAATCAGAAGCTGTCTTACTCCATGGTGATGAGCAGAGTGTAACTTAGAGGTGTTACTCTGTTTTTTCCTATAATGCCTTTGTTAATGTAGATAATGGACCTGAGTCATGTTAGGAGCTCTGGTTTTCCTGTTTCTGAACACACCGGCCTTGGTTTAGATGTGTGAGCTCAATGTTAGGGTGTCGTTCAGAAAGAGGCTTTGGTTTGGTGTTCAGTTCACAGATTCTTCTACTGCTTTCATGTCTTCTGGCCACCATCACCCGCCAAAAAGCGAACTCCTCAGTAGATGATTCTGAATGTGAGACTTGTTTCAAATGCAGGTACTGTACTAAACCCTCCATACTCCAGAGCCCCAAGGCATTTAGTGACCCCTTTGGCTGTTGACACAGTTTGTAGTGCATACTGATATTCAGCCAGCAGTAGCAACAGGATGTCTGACAATACCCCCTCGTCGTTTCACTTCCTCACCCCACTGTGTACGCAGACATTCTGATCACTGTATGAAGATCTCTTCACCTTCCCCCTGCTCTGCCTATGTGGTGAACACCGCAGTACTGCAATAAAGCATTTTGCACAATCATATTTGTTTTGTTTGTCACCATGTGTAGTTTCACCCCTGCAGTTTCACACTGTCGTTTTGGCAGTTTATCCATGTTTTTCAGTTTTTTATTTTGTCTTGTTGAGTACATTCCATCACTGTATCGGTGTCCCTCACATGTGATCTGTTGAGGACCCTCGTGTGTGTGTGTGTGTGTGATTTGAAGTGACATTTCTAAAGGAAAAAAATACGTTCCCTGTTAGTTCCTGTGTGAATGTTACAGGGTTGGGACATGTGTGTCCAACATCGCCTTACCCAGCCCCGATAATCAATCAATAAGAACTACAGGAAGTAGACTCACCCCTTAATCACAGAAGTGCATCTTGGGAAGTATAAATGGCTGTATGTAATTGGTCCCCTGTTGTAGATACATTGAATAAAGAAATTGAAGACCTCACCAAGAAATGTGATAATGAAGGTATGATATGTTATCTGATTTCCTTTAAGCTTTGTTTTGCATTGTCAGTTTGACTGTCTCCTTGTTTTTATATATGACCCTTTTTGGTTGTGGAGAACTGGAGTGGGACATGGGTGGGAGTGCAGCAGGGTGAAAACTGGAACTGCATCTCACTTGAAGTGTACACTGAGGAACCAAACATTTGGAACACCTTCCTAATATTGAATTGCACCCCCATTGCCCTCCAGAACAGCCTCAATTCGTGTGTTCCAAAAGTGCGACATACCCAGCAGTGTTGCAGTTCTTGACACAAAGCGGTACGCCTGGCACCTACTACCATACCCCGTTCAAAGGCACTTAAATATTTTGTCTTGCCCATTCACCCTCTGAATGGCACACATACACAATCCATGTCTCAATTGTCTCAAGGCTTAAAAATCCCTATTTAACCCGTCTCCTCCCGTTCATCTACACTGATTGAAGTGGATTTAACAAGTGACATCAATAAAAGATCATAGCTTTCACCTGGCCAGTCTGTCATGGAACGAGCAGGTGTTCTTAATGTTTATATACTCAGTGTTTAGCTTCTGTTTTATTAAATAAAATATCTGTACATATTCAACTTGATGAACAGTATGATGCCCCTTTATTTGTTCAATGTTTAACATGTTTTTCCATAGTTGTAGAACAAATTATTATTATTTCCAGGAAACTGCTTTTTTTGTAGCCCAAGAAGAGGGTGTAGGGGGTCAATAACTTCAGACCTTAAGTATCACACTGATGCTGAGTTTTTAGGCAATGCGTGCTACAAAGAACTGTGCAAGGCGTCCACTGTGGTGGGCTAACCCCATGTGCATTTCCTGTTAACAAATTTTTTTTCTTCTACTTTTGAGATTAAGTGGAAACTTTTGTCACCTACACACTCTTCCCCCCCCACACCCCTCCCTCTCCCCACCAAAACCACACACCTCCCTCCCCTGATCATAAAATACAAAATACTCTGTCCTAAGTTTAGAATCCTTTACAGTTGCTGAGGTGTTAACAGTGTTGGTCATTGTCTGCTCATCATCAACCAATCATGCGGTCTGCTCAGATCCTTCTCCTGCTGTGCATCCTGGGAGCAGCCCTGTGGTCCGCCGCGTTGGCCAACAGTAAGTTATCCCTGCTTTGGAATCGATTCTTAACTACTATCAATCCTTCTCTTCAGAACATTGTCTAACATTTAGTGTTAATCATAGTGTTACATTAACATTTGAGTCATTTAGCAGATGCTCTTATCCAGAGTGACTTACAGGAGCAATTAGGGTTAAGGATGTATGGGAGAGATATGGGACTGTACTTATCAAGAGTCTGCTGATCTGGGACCAGTTCCCTGCTGTTTATATAATCTTATTCATTGTGATCTAAAAGGCAAACTGGTCCTAGATCAGCACTCCTACTCTGAATTGTTGCATTATAAAGCTGAAATGAAATATTCCATGTTTAAGTTCTGACTTATAGACGGGTTGGTTGTTTAGCAACACAACCGACATGTGCGCAACAATGGGGCAAAACAGCTGGGGTTGGCTTAGGTTGTTGACAACATGTAAACTATATTTAGTCTCCAATGTTTATTAAAAACAAAGTTGCACTTTATTTTACAAATACATTGTTACACTTTTTGGTTAGCTAGCTAGCTAAAACATTTCTGCCATATTAGCAAAGACGTGACATCAGTCAAGAACAAGATGAAATTGGCTGAAATGAGTCACTTCCGATTCCCCACATGGCAGCTTCTTGTCATTGTTGCTAGCCATCTGACCATCCAGAATCCTAACACACAGCCTTTCGCCCCTTTGAAGCGCTGGCATCGTTTTCGTGATGTTGTCAGCTAACCTGTCTATAGCACAGGAGGCTGCTGAGGGGAGGACGGCTCATAACAATGGCTGGAACGGAGCAAATGGAATGGTATCAAACACCTGGAAATCATGTGTTTGATGTACTGTATTTGATACCATTCCCCTGATACCGCTCCAGCCAATACCCCAAGACCGTCCTCCCCAATTAAGGGACCACCAACCTCTGGTGGTCTATAGTATGTAAGACAAATTATAGAAAAATTACAGATTGTCTCTTTATACAGATGGAAATGGTCCTGAAGAATGCTGTTTCAAGTATTACACAAGAAAAATCCTCAGACAATTCATCAGGGAATATGAAATGACCAGATCTGACTGCTCTAAGAGGGGAGTCGTGTAAGTATAGTATTAAACATGCACACACACACACACACACAAACAAACACACACACACACACACACTCGCACACACACACACACACACACACACACACACACACACACACTACACACAGGGATGTTTACTCGGACATTGTCTGCTTTCTTCCAGCTTGGTCACAAAAAAGAGCTACCACTTCTGTGCCAATCCAGATGATCCTTCGATTGAGAAGATCATGAAGTCCATCGATGACAGGAAATTCAAGAAACCACTTCCTGGAAGAAGGCTAGTCTAAACATGAGCATGAGTAGTGTGTGTTAAACCTGGGTTAGGACACACTGGGGCGCTCCAAGACTGGAGTTGGACACACTGGGGCGCTCCAAGACTGGAGTTGGACACACTGGGGCGCTCCAAGACTGGAGTTGGACACACTGGGTCACTCCAAGACTGGAGTTGGACACTCTGGGGCACTCCAAGACTGGAGTTGGACACACTGGGGCACTCCAAGACTGGAGTTGGACACACTGGGGCACTCCAAGACTGGAGTAGAGCACACTGGGGCGCTCCAAGACTGGAGTAGAGCACACTGGGGCGCTCCAAGAACGGAGTTGGACACACTGGGGCGCTCCAAGACTGGAGTAGGACACACTGGGGCGCTCCAAGACTGGAGTTGGACACACTGGGGCGCTCCAAGACCGGAGTTGGACACACTGGGGCACTCCAAGACTGGAGTAGTGTCATGAACCCTGCATCCTGAGTCGGTTCCTGCCTGTGTTGTCATTTTTCTGCTCGGAATCTCCAGTTTCCTGAGGGTTCTGGAACGCTCCCTGCCTGGTTGCCGAGCTCTCCTGATTAACCGCACCTGCATCTCATCAGCGATCTGCACACCTGGTCCTGATCATCACCCTTTTTAAGCTCTGACCTGACGTCCATTCCCTGCCGGATCGTTAGCCATGAACAGTATGTTTGTCAGTGTATCAGCCTTGGAGCTTCTAGCGTTAGTTTTGTTGTTTTGCACCTTGTTGGCTTGCTGTGTACTTACCTCCGTTTTGTTCTATCTGCAGTCACTCACCCGGAACCTTCACCCAACCCCTGCCTGGTGGTCGGCGGCTGCCGAGCCATTATTGGATCTACCACTGCACCCCCACCAACTCATCTCCGCCGCCCGCTCTGTTCCCTGGATTATTCAGCATCGTTTTTGAATCTGTTAAATAAATACTCACCTTCGTTTCAACTCACCTTGTCCTAGTCTGCTTCTGGGTTCTGGCTTTGTAACCCGTGACAAGTAGAGCACACTGGGGCGCTCCAAGAACGGAGTTGGACATACTGGGGCGCTCCAAGAATGGAGTTGGACACACTGGGGCGCTCCAAGACTGGAGTTGGACACACTGGGGCGCTCCAAGACTGGAGTTGGACACACTGGGGCGCTCCAAGACTGGAAAGAATTATGGGTAATCAAACATATCACAAATATAAAATCACAAAATCTATTCTCTTTTTTATTTTATGCGGTTGACCCAAACAGATATAAAGATGCTGTATAATGGTCTATTACAGAATTACAATATTTATTGAAGAGAAATAGACAACAGATGGTGCTATCTGAAAGATATTGTTAAAAGTGCAACCTGTAGTTTCATTTCTGCTTTGAGTGTCTCAGATTGCGGAAGGGGGTGGGGTCTTAACGAGGGTAAGACACTGCTTAGTTCATATGGAGCTCGGATCGCTTTGATTGTTTGTGCACAAAGTTATGACCACAAAGTTACTGATTGCACCTTTAATAATGAACATTTCCATACAGAAACCACAGTCTGTTCTCATGTTCTGTTATCTTTTACCTGATAAAACCTTGATGGCCCATGGGCTGCTGGAAGCAATTGTTAACTCTTTTGATGTCTAACATTCAACATTTGATGTCTAATATTATACTGAACAAAAATATAAATGCAACAATTTCAAAGATTTTGCTGACTTGTAGTTCATATAAGGAAATCAGTCAATTGGAATACATTCTTTAGGCCCTAATCTATGGATTTCACATGACTAGGCAGGGGTGCAGCCATGAGTGGGCCTGAGAGGGCACAGGCCCAGCAACTTGGGAGCCAGGCCCAGACAATCAGAATGAATTTTACCCCACAAATGGGTTTTATTACAGACAGAAATACTCCTCAGCAACCCGCGTCCACTCCCCTCAGACATCCCGCTGGTGAAGAAGCCGGATGTGGAGGTCCTGGGCTGGCGTGTTTACACGTGGTGAGGCCGGTTGGACGTACTGCCAAATTCTCTAAAACGACGTTGGAGGTGGCTTATTGTAGAGAAATGAACGTTGAATTCTCTGGCAACAGCTCTGGTGGACATTCCTGCAGTCATCATGACAATTTTATGCTCCCTCAGAACTTGAGACATCTGTGGCATTGTGTTGTTTGACAAAACTGCACATTTTAGAGTGTGTAATTATCAGGCTGTTTAATCAACTTCTTGATATGCCACACCTGTCAAGTGGATGGATTATCTTGACAAATGCTCAAATGATCACTAACAGGGATTTAAACATATTTCTGGGATCTTTGATTTCAGCTCATAAAACATGGGACCAACATGTTGCGTTTACAGTGGGGAAAAAAAGTATTTAGTCAGCCACCAATTGTGCAAGTTCTCCCACTTAAAAAGATGAGAGAGGCCTGTAATTTTCATCATAGGTACACGTCAAATATGACAGACAAAATGAGAAAAAAAAATCCAGAAAATCACATTGTAGGATTTTTTATTAATTTATTTGCAAATTATGGTGGAAAATAAGTATTTGGTCAATAACAAACGTTTCTCAATACTTTGTTATATACCCTTTGTTGGCAATGACACAGGTCAAACGTTTTCTGTAAGTCTTCACAAGGTTTTCACACACTGTTGCTGGTATTTTGGCCCATTCCTCCATGCAGATCTCCTCTAGAGCAGTGATGTTTTGGGGCTGTCGCTGGGCAACACGGACTTTCAACTCCCTCCAAAGATTTTCTATGGGGTTGAGATCTGGAGACTGGCTAGGCCACTCCAGGATCTTGAAATGCTTCTTACGAAGCCACTCCTTTGTTGCCTAGGTGGTGTGTTTGGGATCATTGTCATGCTGAAAGACCCAGCCACGTTTCATCTTCAATGCCCTTGCTGATGGAAGGAGGTTTTCACTCAAAATCTCACGATACATGGCCCCATTCATTCTTTCCTTTACACGGATCAGTTGCCCTGGTCCCTTTGCAGAAAAACAGCCCCAAAGCATGATGTTTCCACCCCCATGCTTCACAGTAGGTATGGTGTTCTTTGGATGCAACTCAGCACTCTTTGTCCTCCAAACACGACGAGTTGAGTTTTTACCAAAAAGTCCTATTTTGGTTTCATCTGACCATATGACATTCTCCCTATCCTCTTCTGGATCATCCAAATGCACTCTAGCAAACCTCAGACGGGCCTGGACATGTACTGGCTTAAGCAGGGGGACACGTTTTGCACTGCAGGATTTGAGTCCCTGGCGGCGTAGTGTGTTACTGATGGTAGGCTTTGTTACTTTGGTCCCAGCTCTCTGCAGGTCATTCACTAGGTCCCCCCATGTGGTTCTGGGATTTTTGCTCACCGTTCTTGTGATCATTTTGACCCCACGGGGTGAGATCTTGCGTGGAGCCCCAGATCGAGGGAGATTATCAGTGGTCTTGTATGTCTTCCATTTCCTAATAATTGCTCCCACAGTTGATTTCTTCAAACCAAGCTGCTTAGCTATTGCAGATTCAGTCTTCCCAGCCTGGTGCAGGTCTACAATTTTGTTTCTGGTGTCCTTTGACAGCTCTTTGGTCTTGGCCATAGTGGAGTTTGGAGTGTGACTGTTTGAGGTTGTGGACAGGTGTCTTTTATACTGATAACAAGTTCAAACAGGTGCCATTAATACAGGTAACGAGTGGAGGACAGAGGAGCCTCTTAAAGAAGAAGTTACAGGTCTGTGAGAGCCAGAAATCTTGCTTGTTTGTAGGTGACCAAATACTTATTTTCCACCATAATTTGCAAATAAATTCATTAAAATCCTACAATGTGATTTTCTGGATTTTTTTTCTCAATTTGTCTGTCATAGTTGACGTGTACCTATGATGACAATTACAGGCCTCTCTCATCTTTTTAAGTGGGAGAACTTGCACAATTGGTGGCTGACTAAATACTTTTTTTCTCCACTGTATATTTTTGTTCAGTATATGTCCACACCTCTTTGTTTTACTTGAGTATCATGTGGCCGTAATCAGCCTCTTCAAAACTCTCCTGATGCCCTTGTCTTTCCTTTGACTAAAACATGTGAGAATCAATGTAAAATGAGGCCACAACAACGGTTCTATTCAACATGTGTTGTGGGTAAAGAAACATCATTGTGAACATTTTTCACATTTACATTTTAGTCATTTAGCAGACGCTCTTATCCAGAGCGACTTACAGTTAGTGAGTGTATACATTTTTTTCATACTGAACAATCTGATTGTAAAAACAAGTCATGAAAATAGTTGAGTCATATATTCATAGCTGCATTCTGCTGTTTGTTAATCAGTCAGTTAGAAACCATCTTAGTGAGCCCTGTACTGTTCCTTACACATTCATCATCATCATCATCATCACTAATAGTGGAGAGAAAACCTGTCAGTCTCATGCAGTAAGGAAGAGGACACTCAATACTGAAACTCCTGCAATAGGGAAGAGGACATTGTGACAGATTACGATACTGTATACCAATATACTTCAGAATGATTTAATTACATAGCACTGTAAACTTTATTATCCAGAAATAATATATCTACTAATGTTTTCTCATACAGATAAAAGATATTCCCAGTTATATTAGCGTTTTATGTATATTGTGGAGGGTGCCATACCGAAGCAGTAGATATCGTTTCAAGAGTTCAAATTGTGTCCTGCAGGTCATCTGTATGTTATTGTTTTAAATTAGAAAAATAAACAAGCATTTTCATTTTTAAACTGGTTAAAATATGATCTTTAAAATGTTTTATCAGAGACTACCTCTACACCTTCAGACATTTTGTTTAATGTACTGATAACCAACGCCTGATTACAGACCAATTGTTCATTAATGGTGTAAATAAACTTTTGTTGACTTTTTGGTCAGTCAATATTGTATGTATCGTCTGGGACATTAACCTTTTTCTTCATATATTGCTGTGTTGTTGTTGAACGCTGATATCAAATAACTTTGGCAATTGCAAGCTAATCTACTTTCCAAATGGAAACGTGACATTTTGATAAGATTATGAAAAGGTACAGCAAAGGATAATGCAATGCCATTCATTGAGTACTAGGGGAGAGTGGGGTATGTTGAGCCATTTTTTACATTCAGCATTACTTAGTCCCAGATAGGTGCAGTGAAATACACTGCTCAAAAAAATGAAGGGAACACTAAAATAACACATCCTAGATCTGAATGAATGAAATAATCTTATTAAATACATTTTTCTTTACATAGTTGAATGTGCTGACAACAAAATCACACAAAAATTATCAATTGAAATCAAATGTATCAACCCATGGAGGTCTGGATTTGGAGTGGAAAACCACACTAAAGGCTGATCCAACTTTGATGTAATGTCCTTAAAACAAGTCAAAATGAGGCTCAGTAGTGTGTGTGGCCTCAACGTGCCTGTATGACCTCCCTACAACACCTGGGCATGCTCCTGATGAGGTGGCGGATGGTCTCCTGAGGGATCTCCTCCCAGACCTGGACTAAAGCATCCGCCAACTCCTGGACAGTCTGTGGTGCAACGTGGCGTTGGTGGATGGAGCGAGACATGATGTCCCAGATGTGCTCAATTGGATTCAGGTCTGGGGAACGGGCGGGCCAGTCCATAGCATTAATGCCTTCCTCTTGCAGGAACTGCTGACACACTCCAGCCACATGAGGTCTAGCATTTTCTTGCTTTAGGAGGAACCCAGGGCCAACCGCACCAGCATATGGTCTCACAAGGGGTCGGAGGATCTCATCTCGGTACCTAATGGCAGTCAGACTACCTCTGGCGAGCACATAGAGGGCTGTGCGGCCCCCCAAAGAAATGCCACCCCACACCATGACTGACCCACCGCCAAACCGGTCATGCTGGAGGATGTTGCAGGCAGCAGAATGTTCTCCACGGCGTCTCCAGACTCTGTCACGTCTGTCACATGTGCTCAGTGTGAACCTGCTTTCATCTGTGAAGAGCACAGGGTGCCAGTGGCGAATTTGCCAATCTTGGTGTTCTCTGGCAAATGCCAAACGTCCTGCACGGTGTTGGGCTGTAAGCACAACCCCCACCTATGGACGTCGGGCCCTCATACCACCCTCATGGAGTCTGTATCTGACCATTTGAGCAGACACATGCACATTTGTGGCCTGCTGGAGGTAATTTTGCAGGGCTCTGGCAGTGCTCCTCCTGCTCCTCCTTGCACAAAGGCGGAGGTAGCAGTTCTGCTGCTGGGTTGTTGCCCTCCTACGGCCTCCTCCACGTCTCCTGATGTACTGGCCTGTCTCCTGGTAGCGCCTCCATGCTCTGGACACTACGCTGACAGACACAGCAAACCTTCTTGCCACAGCTCGCATTGATGTGCCATCCTGGATGAGCTGCACTACCTGAGCCACTTGTGTGGGTTGTAGACTCCGTCTCATGCTACCAGTAGAGTGAAAGCACCAGGAATTCACCAGCATTCAAAAGTGACCAAAACATCAGCCAGGAAGCATAGGAACTGAGAAGTGGTCTGTGGTCACCACCTGCAAAACCAGTCCTTTATTGGGGGTGTCTTGCTAATTGCCTATAATTTCCACCTGTTGTCTATTCCATTTGCACAACAGCATGTGAAATGTATTGTCAATCAGTGTTGCTTCCTAAGTGGACAGTTTGATTTCACAGAAGTGTGATTGACTTGGAGTTACATTGTGTTGTTTAAGTGTTCCCTTTATTTTTTTGAGCAGTGTATGTTGTTTTAGAGGGTCAGTCATAGTAGTACGGTGCCCCTGGAGCAAATTAGGGTTAACGACAGATTTTTCTCCTTGTCGGCTTTCGGTTACTGGCCCAATGCTCTAACCGTAATTTGTCTAACAAAGATATCTACATATATTTCAGGATGTTGTTCAGGATACCGTTTTGAAAACATAGCTTGTCCAAAAAAAGTGGTCTCTTGGAACAACTTAAATAGAGCATATGGACAGGGTGATCATACGGATACATTTCTAACGCTTTGTACTTTTGTAAACACTTTTAACATCGGCTCAAGCCCTGGTGTAACCTCATATCCCAGCGATAATGCTTTGCATTACGCCTGGGAAGAAAACTCTTCAATTGTGGCCTAGAGGGGGGCGAACCCAACTGAGGAAGGCATTTTTCATCATTTAAATTTGACTAATCACACACGTGTTTATAAAAGGCCACATTTTTCCTGTACAAAGAAAGGAGAAGAAACATCTCTGATTATGCCAACTCTGTCACTACGCGCTCAGGCATGCTTTGTTTCGCTAACAGTGATTGAGCTTTACTGTTAGCCTAAATTATGACTATTCAATCTACTTATCACATTAGGAGTGGAAGCCTATCTTACATAAGTCTGCAAATGCGATGATAGATGCATGCAATCTTTTAATATAAAGATGCTATTTTATGGTGAAAAAAGATCTTCCACAAACGTGAAACTTGCATGCCCCGACGGGGGAGGGGGCAACTCTATATTAGGTAGGTGTTCCTAATGTTTTGTGCAGTCGGTGTAAATGCCGTTCCACAGACCTTTAAACCAGATGTTGCGGTGGCAATTTATGGCTGGGGTCATTATTATTTTTTGTTGTTGTTCTCTAAATAGCATTTTAGAGTTTTTCAATTGTGTAGAAATGCAGTAAATGAGCTTAAACTTCCAAAAAATGTCCCCCTCCCCCCACACCCCACTTTGACATACCCTAGGTTTAGCTGAACTGATGCCACCGTGGCACAGACTAGTATCCAGCTATATTTTGTTTCCCAAGGTTAGATAATGACACACTGTTCATTAACATTGTTCCAAATCATATTCACTTTTGCTACATAGGCGTTTTATATTTGTAACCACATCACACTTTTCTTATCTGAAGTTGTGTTATCAACTGTGTTCCAAATGGCACTATATTCCCTATTTAGTGCACTACTTTTGACTAGAGGCATATGGACCCTGTTCAAAAGTAGTGCACTATATTGGGGATAGGGTGCCATTTTGGGACACTCCGATTGCGTGATATTGTGTGTTAAAGGAGGGCATGGCATGACGTGGTCATATGGCTGTGGATTGGGTCCTGGTGTACAGGATAACTGTATATAAGGCCTGGGTTCTCCTACTCTAACTTCACTCACTGAGTCCAAGAAGAACCAGAAGCAACCATGATGAAGTGGGGTGTCGTCCTGTGTGCCCTAGTGGTCCTCTCCGAGTGTAATACCAAGTAAGTCCCAGTCCTGTTCTACTCTTCTTTTTTATTTTATTTTCTGTCTGAATATTCTGTTTATTGTTGTCAGCACCATTTCACCAGGTCAAATTCCTGGTACATGTAATAAAGGTGATTGTGATTGTGTGTTTTTAGGATCTCTCTGATCAAGGGGAAGACTGCCAGAGAGACCCTGATGGAGAAGGGTATATGGGAGGAGACCAGGCTGAAGTTCCCCTACAACCCTATGGCCAAGTTCTACCAGACCGGTGATGAGGCTATGACCAACGACGCTGATGTAAGGCAGAGACAGAAGTTGAAAAAATAGCTTAAATAAAAATTTTCCCCATAATGACAAAGCAAAAACTTTTTTATTTTATTTTGCAAATGTATATATATATTTTTTTCTAATCCTTTATATAGATAAGTATTCAGACCCTTTGCTAAGAGACTTGAAATTGAGCTCAGGTGCATCCTGTTTCCATTTATCATCCTTGAGATATTTCTACAACATGATTGGAGTCCACCTGTGGTAAATTAAATTGATTGGAAAGGTACACACCTGTCCATATAAGGTCCCACAGTTGACAGTGCATGTCAGAGGAAAAACCAAGCCATGAGTTCAAAGGAATTATCCGTAGAGCTCCGAGACAGGATTGTGTCGAAGCACAGATCTGGGGAACGGTACCAAAACATTTCTGTAGCATTGAAGGTCCCCAAGAACACAGTGGCCTCCATCATTCTTAAATTGAAGAAGTTTGGAAACACCAACACTTTTCCTAGAGCTGGCCGCCAGGCCAAACTGAGCAATTGGGGAGAAGGGCCTTGGTCAGGGAGGTGACCAAAAACCCGATGGTCACTCTGACAGAGCCAATCAGGCCTTTAGGGTAGAGTGGCCATACGGAAGACACTCCTCAGTAAAAGGAACATGACAGCCTGCTTGGAGTTTGCCAAAAGGCATCTAAAGACTATCAGACCATGAGAAACAAGATTCTCTGGTCTGATGAAACCAAGACTGGACTCTTTGGCCTGAATGCCAAACGTCACGTCTGGAGGAAACCTGGCACCATCCAAATGCACTGTATACAACACAAACAGACCTGGGACCAGGCTAGTCTATAGACTATATGATTATTGTTTCAAAAATGTCATTACATGTTGGATATTGTGACTGCATAGTTTGAACCCATTGACTCTACAGTTTGTGTTCATGTCTTGCTTAAATTAAATGCACACTGGCATGATCAAATTAATTATGAGCTTAGAGTTGAGCATATAGCCATGCTTCTTCAAATGTAACTAGCTATATAGTTAGACAAATGCCTGTTTCTTCATAGTACTCTGAAATGTTCACTTGTGTAACCCTGACTTACAGTACATCTCTGTTTCAACGTCTCTCTGCAGTTGTCCTACTATGGTGTGATCTCCATTGGAACCCCTCCCCAGTCCTTCAACGTCATCTTTGACACTGGCTCCTCCAACCTGTGGGTTCCCTCTGTCTACTGCTCCAGCCCAGCCTGCCGTGAGTATATTGTAGGGGTCTGGAGAATACTGTTGACGTTGGAGAATAGCTATATTTCAAATTGTTTCTGAGTAGTCTCTTGTGACAGAGTTGCAAAAAACTGTTTCATATTGAGTACCTAGCCAGAGAATGGGAGACTTGGTTGTGGGTTGAGGTTAGGGGCTGAGGGGAGCACCTTGAGATTTACAGCATAAAGGGGTTCGCTCAACACAATGAAACAATAGAATAGGAGGAATGTATTTTTGTATTGTCCCATTTAGAGCGTGGATTGTGGAAAATAGCTCAATACCAACGAAGAAATGAATGTTCAGTTTTGCAATGGCATGGTGTGTACTTAATGAAGATGTTCATGTTTTGAATAGAGAACCATGCCGAATTCAACCCTGCACAGTCTAGCACCTTCTCATGGGCCAACAAGCCTGTTTCCATTCAGTACGGAACTGGCAGCATGACTGGACAGCTGGCATACGACACTGTTTCAGTATGTAAATGTAGCTAGCTACACATTATTGTGATACATTTTTTATTGACACTTTCAAATACAACATACTGTACATTACATACAATACAACCCCCAAATAATATTCCACTCAGCACCCGTCCTCCCCTAACGGTCCCATTTTATAACATCACAGGCTATAAACAATACCCAAGCATATTAGTTACTGACTCCAGTAGATTCAGCAAAGAAATATAATTACTATTTTGGGTACACTCAATATGGCCTCCGGTCCACACATCACCAAACAACTGACTTGAATGGGAAAATCCATTCTAGAAATTCTATTTCTATGGTGCCCAGTGACTGATGCCTGCTGTTCTGTGTTTCCAGGTGGGAGGTATCTCTGTGACTCAGCAGATCTTTGGTGCCAGTCAGACCGAGGCTCCCTTCATGGCCAACATGGTTGCCGACGGTATCCTGGGCCTGGCTTTCCCCAACCTGGCAGCCTCTGGGGCCACACCCGTCTTTGACAACATGATGACCCAGGGCCTGGTGTCCCAGAACCTCTTCTCTGTCTACCTGAGCGGGTAACATAGTAACTGTACAAATACACCTGGATGGGAGGTGGCATTTTCTCTTAGTTGTGATATTCATAAATAAGAATGTACCAGTGATTTTATATTAAATACAATTATACAACTGCTTTAATTGTTTTTGAAGGAGAGGTGACATCCATTTCAAAATGTGTTGATGATTAAACAACCTTGTTGACCTTTTCTCCTCCTCTAATAGAAACTCAGCAGAGGGTAGTGTGGTGTCATTCGGTGACATCGAGTCTAACTACTACACCGGACAGATCACCTGGATCCCCCTGTCCTCCGAGACCTACTGGCAGATAAACATGGACAGGTAGGTACACTAGTCCACACAGAGCCCATATCCTGGTCCGTATCCATACCAATATTCATGTATCATCCCTTCATGCCATTACCCAGAACACATTGGAACAGTACATAAAATGAACATGCCTACTTCCAGTCTGAAGCCTATGACACAATCTTGCTGTGCACTTAGCAAGTTCATGTTTATTTGCTAACAACAAAAACCCAACAGCAAGAAATTTACATCAAACCAAATATAGGAAGAACATGTAACCTCAGCTAATATTTGCCCTTCCAGTGTTACCATCAACGGCAACACAGTGGCTTGCAATGGTGGCTGTCAGGCTATCATAGATACTGGTACCTCCCAGATCGTCGGGCCAACCAGTGACATCAACAACATGAACAGCTGGGTCGGAGCCACCACTGACCAGTATGGAGATGTGAGTCACACACACACTGACTGGTACAGACATGTCCAACTATAAGGCTTTTCACACTACTGAGCAGAACCAAGCCCAGCCAAACCAAGCTGCACTAAGCTGCCTGGTCTTGTTAGTTGTTGGAACGAACGTGTTAAAAAGAACCAGTGGGAAGAGCAAATATCTGAACCAGTTGTGGTTGGGGCGGCATGGTTGTGTGAAAAGGGTATACATCTGTTCTCATTGTTGTTTTTTCCCTCAATCACTGCCTCCCCTTTGATCAATGTATGCACTCACTAACTGTAAGTCGCTCTGGATAAGAGCGTCTGCTAAATGACTAAAATGTCAAATGTAATCAACCACAGAATAAACTAGAACATTTTTATTCCTCTCCTAGGCCACCGTGAACTGCAACAACATTCCCAGCATGCCCGAGGTGACCTTCACCCTCAACGGAAACGCCTTCACCATCTCTGCCTCCGCCTACACCTCCCAGGTAGTCTACTGAAATACATGTTGTTACATATAACCTATGACCTCCCAGGTAGTCTACTGAAATACATGTTGTTACATACAACCTATGACCTCCCAGGTAGTCTACTGAAATACATGTTGTTACATATAACCTATGACCTCCCAGGTAGTCTACTGAAATACATGTTGTTACATATAACCTATGACCTCCCAGGTAGTCTACTGAAATACATGTTGATACATACAACCTATCTGACCTATCTGATCTGTAATGCTGATGTGTTTCAGAGCAAGCTCCTTCATCAGAGCACCTGTACATCTGAGACTTGACCTTTCTTTTAGATCCTAGGAGCAAAGGGCCTCATATGCCTGATTTTCCTCCTCTTCCTCTCTCTATCTCTGTAGAACTCCAACGGCTGCATGACTGGTTTTGGAAATGGTGGAACTGATCAGCTCTGGATCCTTGGAGATGTCTTCATCAGGCAATACTATGCCATCTTTGACAGGCAGAACAACAGTGTCGGTCTGGCCCAGGCTGCGTAAGATATCCACTGAGAGATCCACTAGATCTACAGAGATCCACTGATCCCAAAGATCCTTAAGGGCTAGATGTAATCTGTACTGCGTAAGAACTGTGTTATAGTGGGATTGAAATTGAAAAGACATATGCAGCATTTACCGTGAATGCAGTCTCTGCTAATGTGAGAACATTGCCTTTAAATTTAAATTGTGCTAAAGCGCAGATCTTCCAAAGTCTGGATTGAATCTAGGCCTAAGTCTTCCAGTTATGTTATAAATGTGATTATAGCACTAAAATTGTCTTGGTTGGGGAAATGTTGTAGATTGTGAAATGTGCACAGCTGCAAATGAATAAAATACATTTTAGCATTGCAAATAAAGTGTGTGTGTTTGGTTGTCTATAGCTCTTTCTCCCTGAAGTGAAACTATCCTCTTGTGGAACCTCTTAATGTAAGAAAAAGATAGGAACAGAATAGAATACTATAGAATATTGACCTGAACATGCTGGAGGCAGGCAGGCCCAGAGCCATAGATAACCATCTCTTATAGGATCCTGACTAGTCATCCAGTCCCTGCCGCTGAAAAACATCCCCACAGCATGATGTTGCCACCACCATGCTTCACCGTAGGGATGGTGCCAGGTTTCCAACAGACGTGACGCTTGGCATTCAGGCCAAAGAGTTCAACCTTGGTTTCATCAGACCAGAGAATCTTGTTTCTCATGGTCTGAGAGTCCTTTTGGTGCCTTTTGGCAAACTCCAAGCTGGCAGTCATGTGCCTTTTACAGAGGAGTGGCTTCTGTCTGGCCTTCTATATCACCTCTGCTTCTGAAATAATAGATAGTAATTATAATGCTTAATTTTATTTCTATCACATGATCTATGTACTGTCTCCCACCCCCCACGTATGTCTACGTGTTTGGGTGCGCAAACCAGCACTTATATATTATTCCACTTTTATCCACTCTCTATTAATCAATTACCCGCACATAACGTACATCATATTTTTAATATATTAATATTAACCAAACCACTCGTATTTCTAATGATTCTTTATTGCCACAAGTTAGTTTACCCTAATCTAGTCCCAGCGGAACATCAATTTAATTACCTAGACCCCCATACACGTGACCTGTTCCTCCAACAGGATTTGTCATACCCCTCCGAGAAAATCACACACACACACCTTCTGATTTCCTCTTAAATCAGGGCACACACACTCCTGATTTCCATTTAATCCAGGACACACACACTCCTGATTTCCTTTTAATCCAGGGCACACACACTCCTGATTTCCTTTTAATCCAGGACACACACACTCCTGATTTCCTTTTAATCCAGGACACACACACTCCTGATTTCCTGTTAATCCAGGACACACACACTCCTTCTGATTTCCTTTTAAACCAGGACACACACACTCCTGATTTCCTGTTAATCCAGGACACACAGCTTTTCTACTAGCCTGCTTGTCTTATTTACACTTATCTATAATCACATTGCATGCATGCTTAGTTCTCATTCCAACAAAAACTCTGCTCTTCTACTAAATTTGGTCCTTAAATTCTGGAGAGAACCCTTCTGTACCCTACCCTCAGATTCAGCTTGATCGAAACACACAGTTTAAGTAAGAACGTTGCTTACCTTTGTTTAAACAGTGGCCACTGATTGTGTGATTCGTCAAAACCTCCTCCGATGGCAAAGCACTCAAAGATCTCTATAAACAGGTCCTGCCGGGATCGCCAATTATGTTGTGGAAAATAACAACTATACTTTATTACAAATCAATCCTTCCAGAGTGTTTGTGGGATTAAGAATGACTTCATTATGATGTCAACAAAACCAGGCCAATCTGCAGATTTGCCCCCTCTTCTTCTCTCCATCTTATATAGTGTCCTCCACACACCATAGCTTTAAATCCTCCCTCCTCAGTTTCCCGCTCTTTTATTGCTCCGCCCACTCCCTTTGTCTATGGTGGCGGCTACATTCGACTTTCATTCAGTTCAGAATCAATAGTAATACACTCAATCAATCCCTTATCTTGCAAAAATACTAATGTTTAGGTTAAACTCTGTTCAACCTTTGCGCCGCTCTTTATCACTTTGTGTGAGGAGAGAGACAAAAGGCCACAAGCTAGTTTCAGTCCCTGATAAGATAAGACAGCAATTAATTTCAGTAAAAGCGAGCAATCAAACCCTAAGTCAGATTCCATATTTTACCCACACACACAGTGAAATGACCCAATTCAGTTAGCCACAGACAAACTGAGTAATCGGGGGAGAAGGGCCTTGGCCAGGGAGGTGACCAAGAACCCGATGGTCACTTTGACAGAGCTCCAGAGTTCCTCTGTTAAGATGGGAGAACCTTCCATAAGTACAACCAAGTCACACAAAGAGTTCCGCGACCATGTTATCCACGCAGTGGAGAAATACAGGAAGGACGAACAGAAACTGACAGATCAAGGGAGAGACGTTCAAAGAAAACTGACACAGATGCAGCTAGAAGAGCTGACAAGAAAGGAAAAAAAGAGAACACAAGCCCCAGTGATCACTCGGGCGCCGCCTGAAGAGGGCATCATGGCACTTGTCATCCAGGGAGGTCAACAACCACCGCCTCAGCAGCAAGGCCAAAGAGGTCCTGCCTTACCAGTAGTGAATGTGTATACACACCAATCCCCTGGTCCGTGGCAAAACAAGAATAATGAAAATGGACCCAAGAATCAATGGTACCAACCCCAGCATCAGACACACCAGAATGGTGAACCAAGAAGACCAGGTGTCTGCTGGAGGTGCAATCAATCAGGACATACAAGAAGGAGTTGTCCCACCAAGCCGTGGTGGCCTAGGCAACCACAACAGGGTAATTGGCAAGGAAATAGGCCCAGCTTAGCTGAATGGCGGCAGTCTCAGACACAGGCTCCACAGGCTCCACAGGGCCCAGTGAACCCGTGGGGAGGACCAAATCATGGATACTAGGGATGCCCAGAGAATCCTAGAGGGGAGGGTCAGCTAGTGGCAGTAACTATGCAGGGTGATGAAGAACCTATGCTGTAGGTTCAGGTGAACAATAGAGGCCCACCAATGATGATAGATACTGGAGCAATTTACTCATGTGTAAGTCCAAAATATGCCTCTCACCTCCCCATGTCAGGCAAAGATGCACAGACAGAGGGACTAATAATAGTTAAGGAAGGGGTATGTCCACAGAAGATAATGGGCGAAACCATCATCACATTAGTAAACTATTTTGGTAGAAGGGGGGGCACAGGGCATGTAGGAAAGGACGACCAACAAGGCAAGATATAGCATATTTGGGGATTTGAGTTTTCGAAGTCATGGAGCATGTTGGGCGTGATCGAGAGATAGCAGTGCGACTAGGGAAAAGCTTAGGGGTTTAAATCTTCTGGGATTTTATTTCGTGGAATTCAACGGGGAAGGGAGCAGTCACGAGTGATGTTCTTGAGGGTTTTCTGAGTGAGGGGATCAGGGGATGTGGACTAGTATATTCAATAGAGAGTGAGAATTTCGAATTGTTTAAATTGTTTGGACTGATTAAGAGGTATCAAAATGGAAGCTAACTAAATGTGTACTTTTTCTTCCAGGAAAAAGGGGGGAGTGATTTTCCCATTCCTTTGAAATATTTTCAGAGACTAGAAATAAGGCCTGGCTATTTTTTGTTTGTTTATTGTTTTACTCTACGGTGTTCAAATAACCACAAACAACCTACTTAGTATGAAATGTTAGCTGTATAGGATTTTTATTTTTATTTTAGGGTTCTTTTCAAGGGGTAGAAGTGGTATGTCTTAAGGGGGAAAACACATGTATTGTGGGCTTTTATTTACTGAATGATGAGTACCTACGTGTGATTTCTTTTGAAAAGAGTTGTACTAAGGACTTAATGTATACTTGGTATACACAACATTTATGAGATGTTTTGAATGTTGGTCATGTTTAGTATACTATTGGATGGAACAATTCCTTGAATGATTTCAATGACCTCTGCAATCTTTCCTGGCTTTATAGTGTGACTTGATCACCCGCACGGTAAATCCTAGAGGCATGCTGAATTGGAGGTTGGTTATAATAAGGAATTGTGAAGAAGTATATAATTTGGCATTAATCCTATATATCATTCCAAACAGGACAAGGATGAAGTGAGAGAGTTAGTCTGGAAGGAGAGATATTCCTTGAATAATGTTATGGGATGCAAGTAGGTTAAGATATTATCAAAGGTTGTCATTTTAACCGGCAATATTGTTGTTGTTTTGTTTTTTGAACACATGAATCACGATGTGATGCATGTGTCCAAAGGGGGGAAGTTGGGCTTACAGGGGTTTTTAATGGTTTTAATGTTTCTTTTGTTTTTTGGGGGGCTTACAAGGGTTTTAATGGTTTTAATGTTTTTTATGTTTTTTGGGGAGCTTACAAGGGTTTTAATGTTTTTTATGTTTTTTGGCTTACAGGGGTTGTAATGGTTTTTCATGTTTTTGTGTTGAAATATCCAAGTTGTATTAAGGATATGAGCTGTAGTAATAATGTGTTATGGGTTAGGTTAAATATTTTTAGTTTTTGTGATAGGAGGCAGGGTGTAGAGGGGGTCTGTCTATGAAATGAGTGGACTACAACAAGCTGCAAGGAGGTGCGCTTCATTACATTTACATTTTACATTTTAGTCATTTAGCAGACGCTCTTATCCAGAGCGACTTACAGTTAGTGAATACATATATAATTTTTTTTATACTGGCCCCCCGTGGGAATCAAACCCACAACCCTGGCGTTGCAAACGCCATGCTCTATCAACTGAGCTACATCCCTGCCGGCCATTCCCTCCCCTACCCTGGACGACGCTGGGCCAATTGTGCGCCGCCCATGAGTCTCCCGGTCGCGGCCGGCTGCGACAGAGCCTGGATTAGAACCAGGATCTCTAGTGGCACAGTTAGCACTGCGATGCAGTGCCTTAGACCACTGCGCCACTCAGGAGTTGAGCCATAATCTCAAAGCTTCTGACAGAAGAGAGGACATAAGTAGCATACTGTGTCTCACCTAACCTAACAATGTTCTTAAGACTTTCTTCCCATGGGTGAACTCTGCCTAACTGAGTAGGAGAATCTGAGCATTTTTTGCGCCCTGGAGACTGTGACGGTAAAAGGTTACAGAAGGAAGAGCTGGAAAGACCCTATGTGGAGCGACCCGTACCAGGTGTTGTTGGCTACCTCAATGATGGTAAAAGTGGCAGAGACAGATACTTAGGTCCATGTTTCCCACTATAGGAGTGTTCCAACCCCAGGAGAGGAAGATGGCCCCGCCATTGGGTAGCATTGTTGTCTTTTGT